CAGGGCTACAAGGTGGAGTACCGCGATGTCACAGACACCAACTGGTCCGCAGCCAACGACTTCCTGGTTAAGGAGAACACTTACACTGTGCATTCTCTCCTCGTCAACCACGAGTACGAGTTCCGCGTGAAGGCCATGAATGCCGCAGGATACAGCAAGTACTCGCCGCCGAGCAAGAAGATCAAGATGAAGGGTAAGTACTCCGTCCCGTCACCACCAGGCACTCCTGTGGTCACCAAGATCGGCAAGAACTACGTGGATCTCACCTGGACCGTGCCGGAGAGCGACGGTGGATCGCGTATCACTGGCTACATGATCGAGAAGCGTGAGATTGGTAGCATCTGGATGAAGTGCAACGACTACAATGTGGTCGACACTCAGTACACTGTCACCAACCTCACCGAAGGCAGCGACGTCGAATTCCGCGTCTACGCCATCAACGCTGCTGGCAAGTCTGACCCGTCACAGAGCGGCCCGCCCGTCAAGATCCGCGAGGCAGCTCCTGGAGAGAAGCCGTTCTTCATCAAGAACTTGCACAACACCGCCGTCGCCCTGCACAAGTCCATCACCCTGGAGTGCGAGGCTGAGGGCAAGCCGACGCCAAAGGCTCGCTGGCTGAGGAACGGTCGCGAGGTCACCCTCGGAGGCCGCATCAGCGCCGAGGACAAGGACGGAAAGTTCAGGCTCATCATCTCCGACATGTGGGAGGTCGATGAGGGCGACTACGCCTGCGTGGCCGCCAACGACGCCGGCCAAGCCACCACCATCGCCCACGTCAAGATCGGCAACCCGCCGCGCATTACGCAGATGCACGATTCCCTGTACCTGCCTGAGGGAGACAACACCAAGATCAAGATCTACTTCAGCGGAGATCTGCCTCTCGATGTCAGTCTTACCCACAACGGCGAGCCCATGCAGGAATCGCAGCGCCTCAAATTCACTGTCTTTGATGAATTCATCATCATTTTCATCAGAGAAGTTGTTAAGGAGGATGCTGGTCAGTACACACTCACAGTTAAGAATGACTCTGGCATTGTTCAGGGCAACTTCACTGTGTACATCACTGGCGTACCTGGCGCTCCATCTGCTCCTCTGGACGTCACTGACATCAGCCGCCACATGTGCAGCCTGTCATGGCGCCCACCAGTCTACGACGGCGGCCTGCCCATCACACACTACGTGGTTGAGCGCAAGGACATCACATACAACAACTGGATCACGATCAACTCCTTCTGCAGAGAGTGCGCCTTCACTGTGCAGGGTCTCACCGAGGGCCAGGAGTACCTGTTCCGTGTCATGGCTGTCAACGAGAACGGCATGGGCCCGCCTCTGACGGGCGTCAATCCCATCAAGGCCAAGGCGCCCTACGACCCGCCCTCGCCTCCCGGCACACCCAACGTCACCGAGGTGGGCGGCGACTTCGTGCACCTGGAATGGGACAAGCCCGAGCACGACGGCGGCTCCCGTATCAAGGGCTACTGGATCGAGAAGCGCGAGGTCGGCTCCAACATCTGGACGATGGTCAACCAGTACATCTGCCCCGCCACGCAGGTCAACGTGTCCAACCTCATCGAGGACAGGCAGTACGAGTTCCGCGTCTTCGCCGAGAACGAGGCCGGCATGTCCGAGCCCTCCGTTTGCTCCACCTCCGTCAGGATCAAGGATCCCAACGCGGCCACTCCGCCTGTCATCGTTACTCCTCTGCGCTCTGTCATGGCTCTGCAGCACAGGAGCGCCACGCTCACCTGCCAGATCCAGGGCAAGCCAAAGCCAACTATCTCCTGGTTCAAGGGCATGCGCGAGCTGTGCAACAGCGCTAAGTATGCCATGACCCGCGACGGCGACAGCTACTCCCTGACCGTGCACGACGTGTACGGCGAGGACGAGGACGAGTACATGTGCCGCGCCCAGAACATCGGTGGCATCAGGAGCACCAAGGCTGAAGTCACCATCAAACGTAAGTCATATCAGTATGTCAGTACACCGTACATTATGCATCGTTGCGTGGAATGTTCAACATACATACAGTAGTATTATGATAACGATATCATTGAAAGAATGTTTTCAGTCGGCTCTAACTTGTCTTGTGTCCCCCGCAGTGGCGCCCAAGATCAACGTGCCGCCCAGGTTCCGCGACACCGCCTTCTTCGACAAGGGCGAGAACGCCGTCATCAAGATTCCTTTCATCGGCAACCCGCGGCCGAGGATCACATGGCAGCGCGAGGGCGAGACCATCGAGTCTGGCGGCCACTACGCCGTCGAGACGCAGCAGCGCCACGCCATCCTCACCATGCGCGACGTCAACCACCTGGACACCGGCAGCTACCGCCTCACCGCAGAGAACGAGCTCGGCTCCGACTCCGTCATCATCAAGATCCAGATCTCCGGTGCGTTCCCCTGCTTGCCCGTTCGAGGCTTAATGATGAAAAGGGATTTATCATACACACGCACGCGCGCTTACACATGCACACACATTCACATACACACACACACACACACA